GTGAACGTCAGCGATGTCAAACGGAATCACCGTCGCCACGCGCGTCTCCGGCGTGTTCCACCGCGCCCCGCCACGCCCCGCCACGCCCCAATTCCTTCAGAGCGCGCGCGCACACACACACACAAGCACACACACACTCGGAAAGCTAGTGGGGGGGGGGGGTTAAGGTGACGCCGCCGCCGCTGCTCCTTCAACAAAAGGCGACGACTATGAGGGAGAGCTGCAGGACGCGTGGCCACCGTGGGGGGAAAGGAAGGGGGGGGGGGGGGGGGGGGCTGGAGGCCTGTCTGGGCAGGAGGGGAGGCCAGGCTGGCAGACGTGTTTGGCACGGGGATAGACCGGTCGCCAGCAAACATAAAGAAGTTGGCTTTCCGTGCCATCATCAACCTGGGTCTGCAGCAGGCTGCCGGAGTGCATCCACCCTCCTCCCCTTCGCCTCCCTCCCCTTCCCTTCCCCTCCCCTACCCTGCCTCCTTGATTACCTGCGCGGCACGTGTGGAGCACAATGCCTCGTATCGGCCAGATGAGCGGGGAGTGCTGGTTCAACTTGAACCCTTTTCGCCCCGCCCCGCCACGCCACGCCGCTGGAGCTGGGCACGCAAGTCAAACTGGAATATTCTCTGTTGTTAGCGCTGGCAGAATAAGACAAGGAGACCCCGCGGCTCTCTTGTTCTTTTCTCGTCGTCTACGTCCGCTATCTACACTCTACTACAAGACTCGCTGCACCTAAGGGCCGCGACCGACCCAAACCCGCTACGTAATACCCGCGAATGTCTACTCCGCGGGAAGGCAATCATCTGCACCAACCAAGCGGGGAAAATTGGAATAGGGATCGAGTGGTCATGAATATGTTAAGGTTAAATTCAATTTTGATAAAACGCGCGCGCGCCAAAAAATCTAGCCCTCTCAATATTTTCTGTTTAAATTCGGGGGGAGGGCGCTGCACTCTCTACTCGTTGCGTGCCGCCCCCCAAGCGTAACCACAACCGCATCCCCTGAGCGTCCCCCCGCCCGGAACCATAGGACTTTCGACCAGGACCAGACGGAAACGTGTGGGGTGTAGGGGGGTGAGGGAGTGTTATTAGCTCCTTGTCCGTGATTTCTACAAAAATGAAAACCTTGGTAAAAACCATGTTACTCCATCCGCCTCGCGCCTCGCCGCGCCGCAGGTTCAAGCACCGGGTGTTGTCTGCCTGCTGTTTTTTACCCCCTTGCCGATCACCACCGCGGCGCGCGGGGCGGCGCGGGGTCCAGGACAATGCCTTGTGATTATGTTCCGGTTTCTTGGGTCGGCGCGCGGCCAGGCGAGACGCGGCGTGGTGCGGCGGACAGTATCACATCAGGGACGCCGCCGCGCGTGCCGCGTGCCTGGGGGCGGGGCGGGGCGGGGAACGGGGGGAGGCCAGGTGGAGCGGCGAGGAGGCGAGGCGGGGCGGGCTCAGGAGGGAGGGCCGCACCCCCCGGCCGGGCTGCACAGGCCTGCAACCCCTACGGCTCTGGGCGTGGCGGCGCGGTGTGTCGTGGCGTGGCGTAGCGTAGCGCGGCAGGGCGCGCGGCCTGGTGCGGCGTGCTCGCTCGCGATATGAGCCGCTATAGCACTCCAACCTGCACCGGGCTGGAAGGAGCCGAGCAGGCTGCGCGAGCAGCCGGGGGCGACACTCGTGATCCACATGTCGTGGACGCGGCGACGCGGCCCTGCGACTGCGCCGTGCGTGGAGGTTTCCCTCCCCCGCGTCCTCCTCATTGAAC